AAAGGAGTTGAGCTTGCAGTTCTCAGCCCCTCAAATCCCTGTCTTCTTTGTGACTTCAGTCAGGTGTGAATTTTAGCTGAGAGGGGAACCAAACCGACCCAAGTCTGGGATCCTGAGTAATTCTTCCTCACCATCTGCCACCCCATTTTTAAAATCCTTTGTCTTCCTCTTCATCCAAGGCCTGTCCAGCTCTGAATCCTTTTTCGCCCCGGCAGATGCAGCACCAGCAGCAATCAGCTATGTGCCGGGCCATTTCCTGCTGCTGCATCTCAGGGCTGGACTAGGATGCTTCTGGTCCTGAACTGTGAAAACATGGAGACCCTGACTTAATCTACTGCTATGTCCACTGAATTTTCAGAAAAGGCCCTGGATGAGGTCGGCAAGGATCAGAGGAAAGCACCCGGTAGACTTGTGGATCCTTGGAAGTGGGACGGCAGGCAATTCTGCAGAGCAAAACTAGGGATGCTGACAGAAATAAGGGCTGAAATAAAGGAAATTGGGAAAGGTAAGAGGGAAAATAAGGAAAACCCCCTACCCATAAGATGAACATGAAAGGAAAGAGGTGCACCAGGAACAAACAGCAATGAGAGAAGGCAGTGAGAGGAAGCGACGCAGCACCAGAATGGTCTGGCAGAAGCTTGTCCACTGCCTGTGCCCTGCCTCACTTTGCTGTCAGGTCTTGATTTTTGCAAACACTGAATCTGCACTTAGCTCTCATGCACTGTTCAGATATAACAAGCTGAAAAGGGAACAGATCAGCTCATTAATTTTCCTTGGGAAGGGTCTCTAGGCAAGAATTATTTTCTCCACCAACATTCATTCAATTACTTGCCTTCACACCAGTCAGATCTACAGGGATGTCTAACCCCATGTGCATCACTCATGCCTGCCTGCTCTGGACTCTTCTCTCTCTCCTTCTCAGTATAAAAGCCTCCCAGACCTATCCCTTTCCTAATAATAATGACAACATGACAAAACCAATAACCTGCAGATATAAAATACAATTCATTTGCTTGCTTCATAAGACCCTGATAAGGCATTGTCCCTCACTTTTTGAGATTCTATAGGAGATCTACAGGAGTTAATTAAAGAATTAGGTAAGGCATCACTCATAATAAAAAGTGGTTTTAAAGCACTCAGTGCCAAGAAGGAATTAGGTTGGAAGATCTGCAGCCATTTCAAAGTTGTAAGAGGTGCAGTGTCAATGTGGGGTATGAGCTTGCAGATCTCAATTGCTTGGTGTACGTGTGTGTTTTGTGCCTACACAGTCAAAGGACTGAGAAAAGACCTTTTTCTTGAAGGGTAGAGACTTTTGAATGGCCTGGGGACACCTTTGAGCAACCCCAATGTCTGAGAAAGAATCATCTTAAGGAAGAACAGGAAAAAAATCAGAATTGTGATTTGACACCACCTGTCTGCTTGAGTCCCACTGCGGAGCAGGGGCGTCCTGTAGGACACAAGAAAGGAGGGAAAGAAATCCAGAGAGGAGGAACTTCCAAAATAATGCTCCTCTCTGAATCAACACAAAGATCTGAAAATGTTGACTGAAACTCCTTTGTGGGGAATAGAATGACTGGAGAGGGGAACTCAGAAATTGAAAGCCTGGGGACAAAATCCTCCAAGAGGAACTTGCAATTCTGACCATAACATATCTGTGTATACAGTCCAAGATTAAGTCCTCACATCCATTTTTGTTACTGGATCTCTTGGCCAAGAAGAGAAAAGATAATTTAACACAATAACTTGAACATGAGGTGTCTACCATCTCTGACAGCCTACAGCATTGACTAGTGCCAGTTTTCCTCCACATCCCCAGAAGTGAAGGTAATGTCATCAGAGGCTTCTTACAAGTAGTAGATGGCAGTTTGGACTCCTTCTTTGATTATTTTCTTGTTATAAAGCCTCCTGCCCTCTTTTTCACTACCTCCCCTTACCCTATGGACCTGCCCTGACACCCACCCCAGGCAGAAGAAGAGTGTCTGCCCCACACCCCTTGTCAGATGCCTCTGCCACACTGTGGGAAGGCTGTGAACAGAATCCAAGGGTTTTGTTCTTTTTTCAGCCTTCCGGGACCAAACCCTTCCCTCCACAAATCTGCCCACCCTCTGTATCATGGGGGAAAGCAGACTTTGCTGCATTCTTCTCTGTCCTGTTCACCAGCAGGCAGCTTTCACCAGGGAGAGCAAATCAACCAGGGACACCTTTCTGATTTGTTCTGCCGAGAAAGAAGATAACCCCTTCTAGTGTGATCAGACATGACAGTAAGAGACCTGCCATCCAAGGGCTGGTGGGCATATTTGGCTGTGCTGTCCTGGGACTAAGACAGTGTCAGCCACCACCCAATGCAGGCTGTGGGGCTGCTGGAAGCCACGTGGAGGCATCTCAGCAGTGGCAGTGCCAGATCTATGCTGTGCCACCCCATGAAGCAAACCCATGCCCAGACCCTCGTCAGCATGTGCCTATGGCAATGATTTTGCCTTCTGCTGAGATGCTCTTGCTACCAAGACTTTATCCAAGTTTTAATGCAACCTGTGCTCTCAGGCAAGGGGCTCAGAGCTGGGCTCAGCTCCCCTGTGGTGCATTACACCCTCCCACCCTAGTTGCCAGTACTGCCCAGCATTTAGGGGTGGGGGAATGGGCTGGCCCAACCCTCACATGTCTGGGGCAAGGGAGAGCACCCTGCCAGGGCCATGCAGCTTGTGCTCAGGCTGCACTTCACACCCCTCATGCTGGGCTGCAGTTTAAGCCCTCTGGAGAGCATCAACAGGGAGGGCAGGGGGCCTCGGCTGGCAGCAGTGTTGTGGGGGCTGGAGGCACTACGGAGCTTTTAATTGGAAGCACCCTGGCACATTCTTTTGCCATGCAAGCCACTTCTCCACAGTGCCTGTGGGGTCCTGTCAGATGTAAAGGAGAAGGAGCCCTGAGCTCCTCCAATCTGACAAACCTCACCCGCCCCTTCCTCCTCCCCCTCAGACCGCGTCCCTCTGGGTACGGCTCTGTGGGCAGATAGACATGATCTGAATTCACTGCCTCTCCTGACTGGGGTCCTCATACCTCCTATCTCCACCCCAGCCTCCCTCCGCCCTCCAGCTTGGGGTCATGGCTCAGGGAAGGGAGTTCATCCCCGCAGCCTCTCTTCCCTGCATGGCTTTGCATTTGAGTTGCTTTTTTTTTTTTCTTTTCCCTTCTCTCTCTCTTTAATTTTTAATTAAGGAGATGTCTCCTTCCCTGGTTGTAATGAATATCTGTGTGAAAGGTTTTTCATTTTTTATTAATATACAACTCTATATATTTATCTATTTGGAGGAAATCTGTGCGTGTGTGAGCAAGTGTATTTAAAACATCCCCCATTAATTTACTGCTATTGATTTTCTGGCTTGGATACAGCATATAGTATTCAGCATAGAGCTCCTCTGCAGGATATGTTAAAAGGCAGCAGTTTGGGTTGACAAAGGGCACTAAATGCAGTATGCGTCAAATAGACCATCGCTCAATGAAGTCACTTAGCTATTCAAAACATGTTCAGCCATCACTCAACCGTTTGCACCAAGAACGGGGGAGAAATTCATGCTTCTTCCCGGACACAACCATTTCCAAACAGCAGCTTTAGCTTGCTTTGGTGAGAGACATCAAAACATACATAGTTTATTTCCCCCTTCCCCCTGCCTTCCATCTCCCTGTGCCGGGCTTAGAAAATCAGTTCTGCGGTACCCACTCCCCGTTCTCTCCCATCAGGGAGCTCTAGGCACACCCAGCTCCACTGGACACCGGTAGACACAGATCTTATCCCTGGATGTCCATGAACCCCCAGCAGCCCACCGTCCAGCTGGGAGCTGATTCATAAACAGGGCTTTTACAATGGGCTGTAATGTGCTCCTGTGCTCTCGCTCTCTCCTTCTCACTACGTGTGTAACATAAACCACGCATTTACATCAGTTGCCCCTATTCCTTCAGCACAGGCTGAAGACCACCTCCCCAGCCCACACGTACGCCAATAGCAGTACTGAGCAATACATATTTAAAAGCGAATCACTGGCCCCTCTTTTCTTTCCCCCTCCCTTAGGAACGTCTGATTCCAGAAGTTGGCTGCGGCGGTGTCTCTTCTGCCATCAGACATGTCACTGAGTTGCTGTTCAGTTTCACCACATCAGACTTGGGCTGATTTTTCCATTCAGAGACTTGTTTATTTTTAGCCTTCACCATAAACCTTAAAAAAAAAAAAAAAAAAAAGAAGCCCAGAACACCCCCCCCCTTCTAACAACAAACAAACTGGGGAAAAATCACAGCCCCAAACCAATCAGCCACTAACTAGACCCCTTTCCCTTTTGCATTCAGCCCAGTGAGATGTGGTTGCTTACAGACATTACAAAATGCTCTGAACTCTGGTTGAGATGACTGGTATTGTTAGATTTACTGTGCGAGGCATTTTGGACATACCAGGGTTGCTTCCCTTTTTCTCTTTTTCCCTCCTGAAAGGAACTAATAATTGCATCCAAAGTGCTTTGCAGTCACCCCCTCCCCACGCTGCCCCTCAGTCACAGTCTTGTCTTTGCAAATAAGCCATTTGCAAAGAGAGCAATTATTTCACTCTGTGGTTGCAGCCGGAGCACAGCAATAACACAGCATTTTAGCATTGCTTACCCAGGCAATACAAACAAGCTAAAGACAGGCAGACTGCACAGTTTCTTTTTGAAAGGGTCTCTCGGTGGTTTTGTAACACACACATTATTCCAGTTGGAGAGAGGAAGTGAATTTTTGGGGAAGGTGGGAGGGGGGAGGGTGGGAAAGAGGAAGGGAGAAGGGAACGGAACAGTGAGTGTTTTGCCTGTCTTCTTGCCTCTGTGCCCTGAGTAACTGAGCCCACCACTCTCAAACCACGGTGAAAGGAATGAAGTGAGAAAATGGTGGAATGTGGAGGGATTTTTGGGGGGAAGGAGGGAGAAACAGGGGGTGGTGGGAGAGGAGGGAGTGGGGGGGTGTGGAGGTCCAGAATCAAATACCTTCCAGGCAGCAGGTTCTCCATAATCCAGAATGGGTCATGACTTCCTCATTCTTTTTGCTGGTTTCGTTCTCACTGACAGTTTTAGTCTTGCAAACCCCTCTGGAGTAAAGCCAGTAGTCGGTCCCCACAGCTATGGTCATCAGGCTGAAGGCAGCGAAAGCACCAACGGTGGTTAAAAGCATCTGAACACCTCTGTCAAAGAGCCCCATAATTCTTCATTATACAAATACCCAACCGCCTTCTGATTCTTGGGGTGTGTGTGTTTAATAAAATAAAAGAATAATAATTCCGACTAATAATATAATGGGTATATAGAGAGAGATAGATATCAAAAAAGGGAGGTAAGAAAGCCCACGGAAAAGAGTGTAAATTAGAAAGACCACACGGGAAGAGGCTTGCCTTTTAAATCGGAAACGTTCTGGTTGAAATATAAAAAAAGGAAAAAGGAAAAAGAAAAAAAAAGAGAGAAAAGAACCAAGAAAAACCAAACAAATAAAGAGAGAACCCCCCCCAAAATGAGACGCCTTAATCCCTTTTTCTAAAATTCTGGTCTCCAGTTTCCATATGTAATGGCTAATTTGGAGATGGCTTCCACAGTGAACAGGGGAGCAGCAGCAGCATCCTCAACACAATCTCTCATTATCTGGACCTAGACAGTTAGAGACTGTAAGAGCAGAGATGCAACCTTCAGTCTTCTTGCTTAGCTCTGCAGCCTGCGCCATGAAAATCCTTTTCCTTCCCAGTTATCTTCCTTGGGTTTTTATTTTTTTTTTTTCCCGGCAGCGGCAGTCGCTCCAATCCTCTCTCACTTTTTCTTGCTTGCTTCTCCTTCCTTTCGCTCGCTTCTACCACCAAGCCAGAGTGCCCAGTATACTGTAAGCCCTTGATTTCAGCTGAACAGGTGCCGAGGTCTCGCCTCCCATGGCTTTTCCGCACAGCCGCGGCGCTCGCTCCCGGCGGAGGTGGGCGAGGAGAGAGGGGGGCTCCTGGGGCTGGAGGGTTGGGGGGGGGGAGGAGGGGGACGGGCGCGGCGGCCCTCCCGGGCGGGGGGCGCAGAGCGGAGCCCAGTTGCGGCACCCCCTGCCCCGCGGCGGCCCCCGGCGACTCCCGGGCCCCGCTACTGCATCAAGGCGGCGGTGGCGGCGCGGCGCTGGACGGCTCCCCCGCGGCGGCGGCGGCGGCGGTGGCGGTGTCGGCGCTGGCCGGCGGTGCTGCAGGACAGCTCCCCGGGCGGCGGGGCGGGCGGAGCGCTCCCGGGCCGCCGGTGCTGCAGGACAGCTCCCCGGGCGGCGGTGCGGGCGGAGCGCTCCGCGGCCCGCGGTGCTGAAGGACAGCTCCCTGCCCGCGCCGCCCGCCCTGCCCGCGCCGCCCGCGCCCCAGCATCCGCGGGCGGCAGCCGCCCTCCTCCTCCGCCCCGCTCCGCTCTGCGCGGGCAGGCAGCAGGCAGCAGGCAGGCAGTGAGGGGCGGGGGGGCAGCCTGCCCCCGCCCTGCGCCTCGCCCGGCGCTGCCGGCCCCGCGAAGGGTCGCTCCCCGGGGGCCGCCGCGGAGCTCAGGGGAAGGCGTCGCTGGGGCTCTCCCTCGCTTTCCGCCTTTTAGCCCCCCACCGCCGCCCCCCGGCTCAGCCGCCTTCGCATCCCCGCCGTAGGTGCCTGGAGCCGCGAGTGCGACCCGCACACCGCAGTTAGACCCGCACAAAACTTCAGTCAGCCGTTTCTCTCCCCAGGAGACGGGTGAAATGTAACGTGGAAGGGTAATTTAAAAACAAGCATGTATTTCTGCTCTTATTGCCGTTGTTATGATTTTAAAGTGCTTCCTCTTCACTCTTCTCGGGTTCGCTGCAAGTTGCATATGTCTTGGTGTTGCTCGTTTTCTGTCCCTCTACCTCCTCCTGACCAGTGTTGTGTGGACCCAGTGTGTGCGTTCTGACTTTGCCTTTATAGCTTTCTGTGAAATCCCAATGCCTGCTCCAAGAAGCAGACATTTTGGGAAGATTCTTCATGAGAAAGGACGTTTTATGGTAATTATTATCATTTTGTTACGGAAAGGAACCACCAAAACTGAATACCTCCACCCCCACAACTCCCAGAAAGCAATCCACCTTTCACATCCTTGTTTTACACATAAAGATGTATGAGCTGAATGGATGGAGCCTGAAATCTATCACTGCTTAAGTTTCCTGTGTCAGACACAACCTGATAGTACCAAGAACATACACAAAATTGTGCAATACTGACATCTAAGTATGGCATAATCCTCTCTCTCTTCCTCAGCAGTATCATTACACCAGGTTAATTACATTAGTCACCTCCTGGTTCTATACATGTAGCTGCTCATTAATGCAACAATCATAAAGAAAAGAAATAATCTAATTCTTGATGCTACCGATTTTGTTTCTCTCTGATCAGGTTCATTGTTCAGTGAAAAGGAGACCAGAAGAGCTGCTTTAGGTTCACTGCTGTTCTGTGTGGGGGAGCAGGGCTGAGGGAAGTGAGTGCTGGGAAGTTGAACCAGTTGGAGGGCTTTGGCCATGCCGCAATTTCATAACTCCATTTATCTTTTCTCCCTTCTCCCTCTCTGTGTGCTGACTGGGACTATCCTTTCCAGACGATCTGCTCCAGGACCATTGGAAATGAAGGGCTCTGTAGCAAGCAGCCAAGGGGCCACTGGCTGCCCTATAGACCCTTGATCATTTCCCCTATTTGGAGGGTACAATCCGGGCTGCCCTCACAGCTGAGAACAAGGTAGAGGTGTTTATCAGCAAGCACTCATGGTGTCTGGCATCAGCCATATGCAGATCACCACCAGCAGGAAGGAAAGGCCCTGGGGAAGGCAGAAGGGAGGGGTAGTAGGAGACATTGCAGACTGAGGCCACTGAAATATTTTTTGGGGATGAACAAACCCTGGCCTAATCTGAGGGAATCCTAGCCTTGCCCTCTGCCATAGGAGCCTGCAGGGCCTCTTTCTGTGCTCACAGAGCTGCCAAAAAGCTGGGGATAAACAAGGGAGGAGGTGCCTCTATAGCATCTTCAGTACCCTGAGTACAGCCTGCTGCAAGAGTGTGGAGGATGGTAGCTTGTGGACAGGCTCTCTGAACTGTTATACTTGGTGCAAAGGAATTTGAGAGGCAGAGAGATGCAGAGAACACCCCTAAGATGGTGGGAGATTAGGGCTCTACAGGGATGGCCTGTGTTGAAGAGGAGGCTCTGTGAGGGTTTCTCTGGGAAAGCTAGAGAAGATCACTCAAGGACCTTCCCTTCTATTTTCACCGGAAGAAGGAAGGGGCCTTGAAGAGGGAACACATAAGGGAAGAATAAGTAGTTCTTGGGACTGAGCATTTTCTTTTTGTGTTGGTGGTCATTCCTCTCCAACCCTATCCAGTATTCAAATGTTCTCATTCTTCAAAGGAAGGTAGAAAATCTGGGCCAGGAGCCTGAAAAACTCTGAAGAGGAAAAAACTTCATCTAGTTATTCTGGCACTCAAATCCATCAGGCACAAATGTCACATGTGTGGAAAGGAAAACCACTCTGGATATCTGTGGAGCTCATACCTCCAAGGAAGGTGGGCTCCTCAGTTACTCCGCACTCCCAAAAATGTGTATTACAGCAACAAGAGAGGGGCATGTTCTCCCCAAAGAAATTGCCAGTGTAAGAAGGCCAGGTTTGCAGGGTGGCAATTTTTTTAATCTCTGGCTAAGAGAAGTGAGACCTATGAGAACTCAGCACATCTCAGGATCAGAACCAAACACAGCTTCCTGCCTCACATTTCCCCATTTCCAGAAATAATTCTCTTCCTGCTACCCTACTTATACACTCTTAGACCATTCACAATAATCCCTCTACAGTTCTAAATGCCACAGGAGAAGAATGGAACAAAGGCAATGCAAATGCCAGACTGTCCTGTGTGACTGCTTGTGCTGTGGATAGATGCTGTGCTGAGATTTCATCTTTCCTACAAAGAATCATTAAAAATGATAACACAAAACAAGAATACAGAATAAAAACACTGTGGCAGATTTTTACAAGTCGCATCTTCCTGAATAGCACAACACGGAATGACATCTATAGAAGAGTAAGGAGAGAGAAATTAATAGTCTGGAGGAAATAGAGAGATTTTAAATTACATTTTAAATTACTTGAAATGAGAAGCTGATGAGACAGGGAGCCACAGGAAGTCTGCTTCCAATGGCAAACTAAGAGTGCTGCTATTTGTGGAGAGAAGGGGCAGTGCTGTAGGAAAAAAAGGGGCATGAGAAAGATACAGGAAGCAAGATGAAGGGCACAAAGTCAGAAGGAACTCCATGGGATGGTAATGAGACTGAATAGAGTGTTTGTGGATTGAGTGCTGCAGTGGAGCTCTTTGGCACGTAGGATAAAATCAGACAGCAATAGAGTATAAAAATTAGTATCTAGGAATCTTCATCCTGGGGAGGCCAGCTCAGAAGGAGTTGCTGTAATGAGATGTAAAAGAGATGGAGTTGATGCAGCTGTATTTGCAGGCAGAGCAGAGGTGTTAATAGGCAGATGCACCAGCAGAGGAGATAGGAAAAACAAATTGGGGTTAGGGTGATGATCATAGAACTGGAAGCCAATGGGGCAGAGAAGATAAAAGTGAGATAAGGTGCAGAAAGAGAACTAAAATGTGCGGTAGTTCATGAAGAAAGAAAAATGTCACATATCTGTATGGTTAGACAAGCATAGGGGGCAATCAGAGCAGTCATCACTGACATCCAAAGCTGAGGGTCTCAAAGCACCTAAGAAACATTATTCGCATTGTATCTGCATGCTGGTGGTTTTCTCAGACCAATTTAACAAACTAGCAAGCTAAGAAAAGAAGATTTGTGGGTTTTTGCCAAAGAATCACAAGTGAAGGAGCTAGAAATTGAGATGAGATAGAGATAGGGAGATGAATACACACGGAAAAAGCCTCACTGGTCCTCCTTTCTTATCTTCAGGTTCATACAACTTGAAGATCAACTTAAAAGACAGTTTAAACATCAAATATTCAATCCTACAGCAAAGTCATCTCTAGTGTAACACTTTCTTACAGAAAGTAAGAAAGAAATCGAGATACGGGATACAGAGATCTAACAGTTAAAATGAGCATATTTCCACGCAAAACTGGTGTGGGTGTTGCCCTGAGAGTGCACAAAAAACTCATGATAGACAGGAGTGGAACTCTGGCAGGCACCAAATATGAGGTTATAATGCTGCCATACATAAGTCCCTCAGTTTCTGACCTATATCCTCTTCCAAGCTAAATGTTGTGCAAACAGTTCAGTTAGCCTCTCACAACCCTCTCACAAAGTAACATGTTCATTAGTTTGCAGAGGCACTGGGGCACAGAAAAATTCAGAACACAATCACAAAGCCCACCCAAGTGAAAGTGTTCGAGCTGATTTTAGTGGGATCTGGGTGCTGTTATGAATGAGGTGGGTACCCATGGATACCTAAGAAATCTGTTTCATTTTGAGTTTTGAAGCTAGAACTCCTGTGCTTCCCATGTGAGACTTCTTTTTCTCATGCAACCTTTTCTTCCATTGAATGGTAACCTTTGAAATGTTTGCTATTTGAAGATGGTTGGGAAAAAAGAAAGTATCATCTCATGAACCCTGTGGGTTGATTTCTCCAAAAAAAAGGAATGACTTCCTTCTTTACTTTGAAGAGATAGTTGGAGAAGACAGAGATTCCCAGGATGAATTTTCCGCCATGATGAGTTGCTGGGATGTGAACTATTTTGCCTCCCTTTCTCTTTCCATGCTGTGCTAAGGTTTGTATGTACAGCAGCCTCCTAATCAATAGA